TGAAAAATCACTTACTTGCCTCATATTTTCATCATTTTCTGGATCACGTTCGGAAAAGCTGCACACGTGCACATAATAAGTCAATATCGTGAAATTCGATAAATTTTAAATTGAAGAAACCGCACAAAACCTTTCTGCGTTATTGCATTTCAGCTGTTATAAGTCATTATTTTTCCCATTTTAGATTCGGAATAACAAATATTTCACCGAAAGTATACAATATTGCTGGTAACGCAGAGGCGAATTGAGGTTCTTTTCGTAAACTGCAATGGAGAAATTAAGATAATGATGAAAATAATATTCATTCAGTTAAAGCCATATGAAAACTAATTTATTTTGAACAGTCAGTTTTTAATTACATACTTATCTCATTGTAGTTGAATATAAACTGAAATTGAAACACTTGAACTTTTGATTTACACTTTATTGACACTTATAGACTTAGCATGACTCGTCTTGTCGTTACAAACGACTTCTTCAGATGCTAACAAAATACTGTATTCTGTTAGTATTCTCTACAGTATTCTGTTAGCATTTGAAGAAGTCTGATAACATAGAATGGCGAGTTTCGTCGTTACAAACGACTTCTTCAGATGCTGACGTAAACAGAATACTGACTAACAACAAATTTGTCAAAGCAGGTATAAATAACAAGGAAGTTTAGATTTCTATGAGTCTGGATTTTACCCAAGACATTCCATTCTAAAATATAATTTTTTTGCTTGAAAAGATTTAACAATGGTGAATTGTTCAATTGTATCTGTTCATTGAGCAAATTTCCAGAATTTTATGGCAATTTTTTCTACTATTTCTCAAAAATCTGGACTACTTATCTGTATTTTATGTCAAATTTTGAATTTCGTATCGAAACTGTGGTTTTCTGTCAATAAATGGTTCTCATAATTCAAAATGCTTTTGTTATATGTGAAACTGTATTTATGTTCATGGATTCTAGTGCCGAAATTTCGGCTTGTTTTAGCTATGTATATTACGGGACTTGTGCCACACTTCAATGCGTAAACACCAAATTCATCTTCTCTTTGAATCTGCTTTTCATTGTTTTTGATGTGTCCTGATAAATTATTGCTTGTTCTGAATGAAATATTGAAATTATGTTTCTGTAAAAAGGTTTTGACTTTTTGACTTGGTGTTCCAAAGTATGCTAAACAATTATATTTCCGATTTCTATCAGACTGATAGGGAAATACTAATCGTACAGCTTTCTGATGAATTGTTTTGTGCAGAACACCAAGTGAAGAAGTCAAAACCTTTTTACAGAACCATAATTTCAATATTTCATTCATAACAACCAATAATTTATCGCGACACATCAAAAGCAATAAAAGCAAAATAAAAAGAGAAGATAACAAATCACCATGTTCACATCTTTTCAGGCAATAAAATTATATTTTAGAATGAAATATCTCGGGCAGTATGAGTATTGCCCAAGATATAACCCAACTCATAGAAACCTAAAGTTTCCTTCGTATTTGTACCTGTTTTGACTAATTTGTTGTTAGTCAGTATTCTGTAAACATTTGAAGAAGTCGTTTGTAACGAGGAAACGCGTCATGCTATATTACCAATGAAAGTGCGATCAAAAGTTCAAGTGTTTGAATTTCGGTTCATATTCAATCATAATGGATTTATATCAAGTAAACGCTAACACTATTCAATATCCCATTATTTTCAATATACTTCTGCAGCTGAAGCTCAAATCATAGTACTAGTTTTCAATATACTCGAGACTATTTTTATATTCAGAAAACTTACAACTTCAGATGGATGAACTATCAGTATTTCTGGTATTATATTTATGTTGAATGTTTATTACATTACATGAGCATGAAACCACTGATTTTTCATTTCAAATATGAATATATAGCTATCAGGGAGTACACTGTTAAACAGAGATAAGTACCAGAGCGTTAAGCAAATTCCAACTAGGGTATAACACTTTGAAATTCTTCGCACGACCCTATCTGTAGCTTTTGTACTGTCGAAGTTTTCCTTAGTCGAACCAAATTAAAAAATAGAGCAGTATTCCGAATGTGACATTATTATTGATTTGGTCAACAATATACTTCAAATATAATGATCAACATGATTGTTAAACCTCAATTTTGCGTCTCACATAATGCCTAAATATTATTTGTCTTCGCTCGTCATTTATCTCTTCAATAATATTCATGATTATAATATAAGGAGAACAATAACGGAACTAAGACAGTTTTTGAGGTATACCTACATCCAATTTCATGCTATTCGACAGCATGCTCTTAAAATCAACTTTTTGTGTTCGAGAATTTCGATGCTGAAAAACGCTTTATCTATTCTAAAAGGAAAAGTCTGAAAATAGGAGTTGTCTTCATCACGAGTAAAGAATGATGAATGGTCTAACGTTTTCGTGCAAGAATAGATAATTCGTGGGTTCATTCATCTCGTTCTAAGGTAGTATATTCAAAATCTTTGAGATTTCGCACTGATTTTCTATTCACAATTAATGATGGAAGCGAGTCAGATTGGAGAATTCAGTAAAGCTGTCGACATGAAACCCGTGATGTAAGATCATGTGGGCCTCCCAGCATGTTCAGAATCTCAAAGTTTCCGTACATTAAGATTCTTTCAACAATTTAGTAATTTAGAATTTAGTGCAGCCGTCGAGATAATTTTTAGAAATATGGTGTGCTGTTTCCTAAGTATAAATCTGAGAATGTGATTGAAAGTAAGAATTTTAGTAATGCACAATAATATCGATTCAAAGTAATCGGTACTCCTGATGCTGAGGGGCTCCAATGATCTTAAACCAAGGGCTCCACTTCGATGGTTATACTAAATTTTTCCATCTGACCCGGTTGACAATCTGGCTTTCTTGGTTGTTTAGCTTCAGCTTCGACTCGTTTCAATGTTAAAGGATCCGGAGTATAGCTCCTTTCGTGTTTGACTGCCTCTTGATAGATTTGATGGTTCTCTTCGTTGCTAGTCTTGTATTTTCAAACTGAAGGACCTGGACTGTGATCCTTGCGTGCGTGACGGCCCCGCGATAGACGCTGATGGTCCTCTTGGTTGCTTGTCATGTATTTTTTGTAGAAGGGCCTGGGTTGTGGATCCTTGCATGTGTGATTGCCCGTCCGTAGACGCTGATGGTCCTGTTGATTGCTAGTCTTTTAGTTTCTGTATTGAAAGACCTGGACGGTTTATTCTTCCGTGTTTGACCGCCCCTCTATAAATTCTGATGGTCCTCTTGGTTGCTAGTCTTGTATTTTCTAGTTGAAGGACTTGGACTATAGATCCTCTTGTGTGTGACTGCCTCTCGATAGACGATGATAATCCTCTTGTTTGCTAGTCTTGTAGTGTTACAACTGTAGCTCGAAGGACCATGTCTAGAGATATGTAGTGCTATTTCCTCACAAGAAAATTTCTCCCTGACAAGGCTTCAATCTGCCCACTACTTGTCAGGGGTTTAATTAGTTGCCGACTGATGGACAACCAATTTAAGGCCCAATTCTCCATACTCCTGGATGGAAGTATGAAAGGATTGGTTGCTGACAAGGCCTCAATCTGCCTACTCCTTGTCAGGTGAATGAGTTTTCTTATGCACAACTGATTTTATTAAGATGATGGTAACATGTTTATACATAAATTCAAACTGCTTAATCACTAAAATAAAGTGCATAAAACTCATGCGAGTGTGGTGAACCTATGATATTCGCAATAGTTAACTTACTTATTGCCTAATATGATAAAATATTATCTTATTCTAACTCTTCAATCTTTCAAAAGACTCTTCTAAGTCTTCAACATTTTTAACATAGTACGTCTCTGTACTGATATTTCCTCTGCTCTGTTGTTTATCTCGAAGTAAATTATAAAAGTTCAGCTGAATATAGAATAAATTCCGAAAGTAACCAAGTGAAGAATGTAACGGTACGTGAATGTTGATAGTTCTTTCAAACAATAAAGTATATTTTTTGTTCTGTTTTCAATTCATTTTTCCAGAAATCGGGAAATGGGTTCTTATATCGAATTGAGATGAAATTTCAAATCAGCATTGAAACCAAACAAAATTACTCTTTCTACAGCTGATATTCGACGAAAACATTCAAAAGAGAGTTTTCAATCATACTTTCGACGTCGTAACGATAAGCTTTAACTTTCTCAAATTTCGTGAAGTATTTATGTACTGAAATATTACAAATATTGAGTGAGTTGAGTGAAAATTCAAAGTTGGAATGAAAGTTGAATATTTGTGTTTGTTATATTATCGTATTAAGGAATCCTGATTATTCTAGGTACAGATGGAGCAGGGGCAAATGTCGATGCATCTAAATGGAACATGATACAATCCTTCATGAATTCCTCAGCTTTTCATTTGATTTAGAATTGAATACTTCTGCAGAATATGTACAATAAACATTTATGGAATTTCAGTTATTTCAGTTTATGGAATATTCAAATCTTGGTTCACATTAAATGTAATTTCGAAAGTTTTGACTAGGTATATATTATTGGAAGGATTATTTTCCATTAGGAGATCGATTGAACATGAGTCCATGATTTCCAGTGTTTTTACTTCAGCTTTTTTGCCTCCGAAAAACGCTTCATCCTCTCAGAATGCTCTGTCTATGTTTTCTCGAACTTCACGTGTGCGATCGTACAGCCACACTCTGTGCAAACTCCAATTTTATTATATCGACCTGCTGAAAAACGTTTTGGACCTCATTTAACCAATCTGCGCCGCTTTTAATCTTTGTTAGAATATCGTGTAGTTACTGCGATATTCTGGACTGTTTCATTATATAGACACCTGCTTAACATTTCTAGTCGTTTCCTGATTTCATTCATGTTTCTATCTGTCTGTTAATAAAATCGTTTCGAGGTCTTTCCATATAATGTCATTTTTTTCATTGGTTCATAAATCTTTCTGAGAATTTTTCGTTCTTATTTTATTGTTTTTTTTCTCTAATTCTTGAACGGAGAGAAATAGTCGAAATAAGGTCGTCTCATTAGCGCAGTAAGAGAGTGACGGCCCTCACGAGGGAGATCTGGGTTCAAATCCCAGATAAGACATGGATATTTGTGTATGTAAATGAGTTTCAGCGGTTGAATTAATGAATGATATAAATGTCCAAAGATGACGAACCAAAAAAAAATAATTAGTTGTCATTGTTTCATCTTTTGAAATTATAGTGTTAATTTTCCTGAAGTATCGGCCCAATCGATTTGTGACTCATTTGAATTTCTAATAGTTGAAAAAAGTTTCAATAGACAAAAGAGAATTTTTCCTCAACAAATATTCACACGTTTTATAGTTTATGAAATCATTTTCATATTCACTCCACTCAATGATTCATGGATTTTGATATATTTCAGATATCTGAATTCTCCATATCTATCGAAAATTTTCATACATAATGAGCCGAAAATTCCCTACCCTACACATATTTAGAATACTTCAAAATTCCATTATCTATAATAAACACCATGCATAGTTCATATTTGATTTATATATAATCAGACATATTAGATAGGTTCATTGAATTAAATAATCATGAGTATTCAGGCAGGAACAGTGATGTGCCTGTTATGCCTACACATAAAACAGCTAAATTTGAGTGCTTACTCTATTGAATGAGATTGAATTCTCGCTTAATTTTTGGTGAAAAATATTAAATTAAATTAAACACTTGACTTAATGTTTCACGATTATATTCAACAATAACAAATAGTCAATATGTTTCGTATATGAGTTCATCTTCAAGACTAAACTAAAATAATGAGCGAGCAACAAGTTTAAATCTTCAAAATGAACGTAAGTAGGGCTCGTATTTGAAAATCGACCTGTTCATTTACGATATCTTCTTTTTTCTTCCAAGAACTACATATTTCTATTGTTTTATGTATGATGTATATCTATATATTATAGCAATAGAAATATGCAGCTCTTGGAAGGAAAAAACAGATGTCGTTTAGCCTTGTAAATGAGCTCATGCTCAAAACATGTTGACTATTTGACATTGTTAAATATAATCGTGAAACATTAAGCCACGTGTTCAATTCAATTTAATATTTTCTCTATTCTCAAAGTATTGAAATCTTCAACCAATTATCGTCGAATTTGAAGTACTGAATGCTCATTTGTTCAAGAAGAGAGTTGAGTTTCCGCTGTTAACAAAGGCTTACTCAAAGTACTCTGCCACATAAAGTGTGGTAAAGTACTTTGAATACTCGAATGTAGACAGTAACAATAAATCAGTTTTTTTGTATCATATGTTTGTTTATTCTCTCACGCGAAATTGAACCAAAAGTTATGTCGACTGAATTAAAGATCAGATTTAAAACCGAATTCTGTCCTTTTGGAGCATTGTTCTCGATTATAATTATTAGGTTTATTGATAGAAGGAATATAATACTAATAATAAAGTTTCTTTATTTCAAATAAGTGAATACACAAACAATCTCTGAACTCTCTGAGAAGAAATTTGTGTCAAATATCTGTATATACAATTATTAACAATACAACGAAGAATGGCCATGTCCTTACACATGTACGTGATAATACTCCAAGAACTTTTTAGAAGAAGTTCGTTGGTAACTAGCAGCCTATACAGTCAACTTGTACCTGATTTTGTTCTTTTCTGATCTGATATTGAGAGGCAAGGAATTGAAGTATCTAAGGCAGGTTTATTCAGGTCCATTCTCCATATGTGTAAGTTGATGCTCTGGATCAAGAAAGTTTTTCGCTCTCAGCTCAAACAGTTGCAAATTTTTGAACACAAAAAACAGATTTTCTTGGATGTGTATCGCTGTTGCTATGAGTAGACAGTTTTCTTGAAAGTTGCCTCTGCAGGAAGAATCAAATTCTATGCCCACAAGGGCTCTTTTTCGCAGAGCGTTCATATTTCTCATAAAACTACTATTATCGAAGAACATAGTCCATATCAAAGTCTCGATTCGAAGACCTGATAAACCACCCTCAACACCAGCCAATTCAGATATTCATCACCTCCAAAGAGAAGCAGACAGACCTCAGATTATTACAGAGCTGTGCTATGTGTATATCCGATTTCATAAACTCAGCAATATAAATATCAAGGAATGTTGACGAGTTCTGAGCAACAATAACGTGATTCTTTGTTTTGATTATTTTAGCAGTTGGAATATGAGTTAGCTGTCTTGAAGAAGGTTGCAGTAGTTTTGTTCTCATTCATATCCATTCGATTCTTATTGAACTAATGCTAAGCCTGCAGAATGGTGATATCCACAGCTTCTGTCAAATCCGACAAATTATCACCTCTTACTACGAGACTCGTATCATCTGCGTTAATACAAACAGAGATATATGTTTTGTTTAATACGATAGTTAGGTCATTTATGAAAATTATGAAGATTATTGGACCCGTAATTGAACCTTAAGGCACTCCAATGTATTGATACTGCCTTCGAGAATACCTATGTCACTCCATCCCTCAAAGGTACTTTTTGACTTCTGGATGATACATAAGATTTGAACCACTTGAGTGTAGTGTCCCTTATTCCATAGCTCAACATTTTCTGCAAGATTAATTCATGGATCAAACTGTTGAAGACTTTAAATGAATCAATGAACAATTGTCAAAATTCACATCCTTCACTATGTACAAATATGTACAATGTGCAGGATGTTCTATTATACACTTCGCTGGAGATGAATCTTTCCGTTTCACATTATTGTGAAACGAAACATTTCCACAAATTTGTTGATTGGAATTGTCATAAATATGAAAAATTCAGACTCTCTTTTCAATTTACCATATTTGAATGAAAGGATTCTCCAGACTGAAGTCCATTTACCATAATCTCGAAACTACTGAAAAACCTTAGTAGCAAATTGTGAGAGATGTTTTTTCTATTGCGATCTCCAACTAACATCATGTTCTTTCACGTTTTTGTCACGTTGTCGTTGCAATTGTAGTGTACGATTGTGAGCACTACTGTGATGTGTTTTGTTTGTACTAATGTGCTCATGAAAACATAGATCACGCATGGTGAATATGTGCATATATTGGTTCAGTAATCGGTTCATATTGTGGTGTTATTCATATCAGTATGGGTCTTATCGATATGAATGCCGAAAGGCTTGAAGAAGTTAGAGACAAAGCTTCGCACAACCTTTACGCTATCACTAAGTCAGTCAAACTACATTCACAACTTTGCAATTTATATGCTGAACATGAATGTAATCCCACGTCTGAATATTCACGTTCATCGTCATAATGATTAGTGGAGTTCCCTTCTCAAAGCAGCAAGCGGAGCGTGGTGCAGAACAAATATTACCACCCGACATTGAATGAAACTTACGCTATCAACTTTAATGTAGTTGAAAATATCAACAAGAAGATACACAGTACAGATTACTTTGGAAACGCAACAAGGCATGATGAACTTTCGAAGCGTCAGATTTGTGTTCCTCATTTCTCAAAATGACAAATTTGATGTCGAGTATCTCGTCGATTCAGCAAATTACGTCGTATTTGAGAAGATGAAGAGAATACGTTCTAATGTCAATTAATACACTAGTATTCTTGATACCCTAATTACTCATTGAATCAGATCACATTTTGATGAAACTACACATTGAATGAGATGAAATAGGCAGTTTCTCTTCATAGAAAATAATTGCAATTACAGCGGTGCAAATATAATCGAAGTAAATTTATTCAACCGTGAGAATTGAATAATATTTTGAATGAAAAATAGTTTATTATTTTATAGCAATATTGGTTGACCCAGCCTTCGTAAGGTCCAACTGACAACAGTCAATGAATGGAGTGATGAGTTTTAGTAGAACCTGATTGAAGGTTTCAATTAACGTAATGAAATGAATAAAATTTTATAATCATGGCATAATAAGCAATGACACGGTTTATGATACTTACATAATTTAAAGGAAAAAGTTACTACCGCTCTCACTCTGTCATGAGTTTCAGCGATGAGTCATCGTTCCGCTTTCATATCCATACTTTCATCTTCAAACGTTTAACGTCTTTTTTTCAATAACTTCATGTTCTCATTGATGAATATCATGTTTAAATACCCAATATCTCGTTCTGGACGGAGACATATTCGAAAATTCAGAAATTAAAAAGATCGTTGCAGTCTTTCTTAAACTATAAATGGTGTAACGTGTAACTAACACGACTTTCATTGAACAAATATAGACGATAAATATATATTAAGCAGTTTCAGAGGATTGTGCAACTAACACTCTTTATATACGAATATTATACATGAATTTCATATATATAACTTGCGTATAAGTTGCATTCTTTTTTCCTATTTCCTCATGTTTTTGTATATGTAATTTCCTATTATGCCTTTGGTTTAGTTGTTCTTTTGTAGATGTTCTCCTGATGAAGGCTATTGATCAAAACCCAAAAATTAGGAACTTACGATAATAGATGATTAGTCCACATACCGCCAACTCGATGAATCATTGAATAGTCGATAAATATATACTATTAACGCATCCTTTCGACATTTGAAAACTCTGAAAAATTTCCAATGAAGAGAGGTGTCAGACCGGGAGACCCGCTTTCCGCAAAACTGTCCCAAGCTGCTTTGGAGTCTTTGTTTCAGTAGCTGTACTGGAGCAAGAAGAGAATCAAGATGAATGGCCGTTACCTTAGCCACTTGAGGTTCGCTGACGATATAGTCCTGTTCTCCCACGATGCTAACGATCTTGAAGACCTCATCAATGAACTGGGCATCGCGAACAAGCGAGTAGGTCTGATAATGAACACCGCAAAAAGAAAGATGATGTTGAACCCTTTCTTCACCAAAGAACAATTGGAGTTGGACGGATCCCCAGACGGATTAGAAATAGCAGAGCCTTACATATATCAGGGACAGATTGTCTTGGGAGACGAGGATATTACACCGGAGAGCATGCAAAGAACCAGAACACCCTCAGGTACAGTTGGCCGACTGAAACACAAATCAGACATACCACTATCGTGAAAAAAGTCAAACTGGAAATGGGCAGACCATCTATCCCAAACAAGAGAGGAGCATTTGTCAGCTGTGGTTAG